CCCTTCATCCCCCCAGCCTGTATTGGCCCTGGGGGGTGCCCAGACCCAGGTGGAGGGCCCTGCCCTTGGCCTCGACCTGCTGGCCACGCTGCTTTTGAGGCAGCCCAGGATGCGGTTGGCCTTCTGGGCTGTGAGCACACATTGTTGGCTCATGTCCAGCTTTTCATCCACCAGTACCCCCAAGTCCTTCTCGGCAGGACTACTGTCAGTCCCTTCATCCCCCCAGCCTGTATTGGCACTGGGGGTTGCCCAGACCCAGGTGGAGGACCCTGCACTTGGCCTTGTTGAACCTCGTGAGGTTCACACAGGTCCACTTCTCCAGCTTATCCAGGTCCCTCTGGATGGCATCCCATCCCTCAGGTGTGTCGACCGCACCACTCAGCTTGGTGTCATCTGCGAACTCGCTGAGGGTGCACTTGATCCCCCTGTCTAGGTCATTGATGAAGATATTAAAGAGCACTGGTCCCAGTACGGACCCCTGAGGGACACCACTTGTCACCGATCTCCATCTGGACATTAAGCCGTTGACCACTACCCTCTGGATGCGACCATCCAACCGATTCCTCATCCACCAAACAGTCCACCTATCTAATCCGTATCTCTCCAATTTAGAGAGAAGGATGTTGTGGTTGTGGGGGACCATGTCAGAGGCCTTACAGAAGTCCAGATCGATGACGTCCTTAGCTCTTCCCTTGTGCACTGATGTAGTCGCTCCATCATAGAAGGCCACTATGTTGGTCAGGCAGGACTTGACCTTGGTGAAGCCATGCTGGCTGTCTTGAATCACCTCCCTGCCCTCCATATGCCTTAGCAGAGCTGCTAGGAGGATCTGTTCCATGATCTTCCCAAGTACAGAGGTGAGGCTGACAGGTTGGTTTAAAAATGGGTGCACCCTTTTTAAAAATTTGTGCAATGTTTCCCTTTTTCCCATCACCAGGGACTTCACCTGAGTGCCAGGACTTTTCAAATGTCATGGAAAGTGGCTTGGCAACTACATCAGCCAATTCCCTCAGGACTCTGGGATGCACCTTGTCAGGTCCCATAGATTTATGTATGCTCAGGTTCCTCAGGTGGTCACAGACCTGATCTCTTTACAGTAGGCGGGACTTTGCTCCCCCCGTCCCTGCCTTGCAATCCATCCACTTGAGAGGCATGGGAAGAGAGGTTGCCATTGAAGACTGAGACAAAAATGTTGTTGAGTACCTCAGCCTTCTCCTCATCTGTTGCTACTAGTTTGCCAGTCTTGCTCATCACAGGGGCTACACTTTGACCTTCTTCTTCTGGCTGACATACCTGTAGAAGCCCTTCTTATTATTCTTTGCATCCTTTGTCAAGTTGAGCTCCATCCATGCCTAGGCCTTCCTGATCCCATCCCTGAACAGCCGGGCAGCATCCCTATCCTCTTCCCAGGATACCTGTCCCTGCCTTCCACTGCCTGTGCATTTCCTTCTTGCCCTTTAGTTTGACCAGCAG